TGCTCGTTGAACATATGCAAGCGTATCCCTTCAAACAACACTGGACCACCTAATGTAAATTATACACTGGAATAAAGTCCCAGAAGCTCTTTATTTCATTTAATGATATTCTCTTTTTCACTGTTATTACTGAAATGTTGATTTAAAATGAAAACCCACTCCATGCAGTCACAGGTCAAGGCGCTTCAACACATTTCTTTAATCAGTCTGTCTGTTAATGAAATAACAACTAAGGGAAGCGTCGAGATAAAGATGAGAAAGAAGCTGAATGGGCGGTCTTGGTAATGCAAAAGCACCAGAGCAATGAAATAATGATGAGCGTGAGCAGAGACTAGCTTAAGTTACGTCCTGTGCAGGCTAAAAGTGTTGGCTTAGCTAGAAAGAATGGTGAGAAGGAAGGAGAGCCGCTGAAGACAAGGAGCAGTTACAGTAAGTTGAATATGTGCCTTCATGTTTGGACCTGGGGTAGTAGTTAGATATATATTATTGTTTAAAGGTTCATGTGTTTATTGCTCTGTGTTGTTGATTGTTCTGCTAAACCTGTAAAAGACATTCATCATGTAACTGTGTTCACTTTTTTCTGGGTCATTAGGAGGTCTACATTAGTCTCTTTTATACACTGAAATCAAGTCAAACAACTGTGACCTTTTAAATGAATATTACATTTTCCAAAAAAAATCTAAGAAACTGTTCAATTATATTATTCAAATCACCATTTTTATGACAACTTGTCATTCCGGTCTGTTAAAGTCTGATGTAATTTGAATCTTTCTTTGTTTTAAAGAAACAAAACATTAGTTTGACTCTCACAGGTTCATCACATAGCTGCGTTTCTGTGCTCCACATACTAGGATGCAGAGGATGATAATCGCTCTCAGTCTGAGGTGACCTCAAATGCCAGCAGCGATGACGTCAGCGGTGGTTGGAACTACGAGTGGAGTTTGGTCCACAGCCTGAGTCCTGAGTGGGAACTTAATATCTGTGACCCTGACATTCAATCCAGGTGACTGTATCCTGTATCCTGATTTTAGAAACCCTTTTTTTTTAGCAAGAACAGTCTGTCTTTATAGTGAGCGCATACATACCATGAATAAACAAAGTCTCACACAGAGATACTCTTGAACCAGTGAGGTTTTCCCTTCACAACATGCAAATATACATGTAAATATAGCCGAAAGCTGTATGAGTCCGTCTTTTTAAAAGGTAAATGGACTTGAGCTTGTATAGCACTTTTCTACTCTTCTAACTACTCAAAGGGCTTTTACACCGCAGGTCACACCTACACATTCACACACTGATGGTGAAGGCTGCTATACAGAGTAACCATCAGAAGTAACTAATCCCATTCATTCCATACACATTCCTACACCGCCAATGAAGTAAGGGGAGGGTCTTGCCCAAGGACAAGCCGAGGATCGGACACCTGACCTTCCGGTTAAGATACAATGGGCTCTACCATCCCCCCAAAAAACAAAAAGAAGGTTTATTTTTTTTAAATGGCTGGGTTGGCAGGGTTAAATTCTCTCTCTTTGTGCGTGCATTTCTGTGTGTGTATGTAAAGACCCCGCAGTTTGTTCACATGTTGTCCCTCTTGTGGTTAGGCAATGCCATAATGCATTTTAAAAATCAGAACACCATTATTACATCGTGGGGATTTAAGTCAAAGTACAAAGGCATAGACATGGTGGAGCTTTGTTTTTCTTCTTGCAAAAAGAAGCTGTTGTTTGCAAAGGAGTCATTGGCTTTATATCTATGATAACCTTGAACAACATTCCTGCAGCCCTCCAAATCACTGCAACGGTCCAGAAAGGAGCGGATCCCTCAGCGCAGGGAGCTACGGTGTGGCCCAAAGAGATATGACCCGGTTGGACCCTTCACCTCATCGTGTAAGTGGCAGCTCCTGGATGGATGAGAGGAGGAGCAGAGACAGGTCCCGTCGGCCATCAGGTATATTGAAATGCAGATTTTTTTTAAAAAGTAGTTGCTTTGTGAAACATATAGATGATAATCTTGATCTTGAGTTTTGATTTCAGAGTCCAGAGGAGACAGGGAGCAAGAGAGTGGCTACTTCTCCCCAGACCGGAGAGGTGACGGTGAGCGGCAGATGGAGGAAGTCAACAAACGGCAGTATCGTTACTACGAGAGGGGGCATCCTCTTCCTAGCAACTATATTCCAGAGCCCAAAGCCTGCGTCCCCTACCGGAACATCAACCTGGGCGTGCCATCCCAGAGGAGGAATCCAGAGACTTTCATGCTAGAATCTTGGAGAAGTGAATCCCCCGAGAGATACACCTACCACTCCAACTTTAGACGGGGAACTGACTCGGAGATGAATTCGCCGACACGTCACAGCTCTGTGAGTCCGGATCGCTACAAGTTAATTGAATCTCCTATGATGACCCGTCGAAGGAGCTCCCTCTCCAGGAGTCAAGCCCGGTCCCACTCCTCGTCTCACATCTCCTCTAAGCTTCCATCGCATGTTCCCTCTCGGCATACATCAGGCAGGTCAAGTCCATCCCGCAGGAGGGAGTCCCTGTCCTCTCCCTCTAGAGCCACACCTTCTCACAGGCGCACAGACTCTTTCCATTTGCAGGACGGTGACTATGAAGCACACAGGGGATCCAGCCGAGACTTAAGGAGTCCATCACAAGCGTCGAACAAACACAGCTTGGACTCTGAAAGACTCTACAGGAACCTTGAGTCTATCTCCCGCCGCGGGTCGTCCGCCATCCAGAAAAGCTCGTATGAGGGATCTCAAGCATCTCCTCGAACAAGAACGGCTGTTGACAGAGCAGCAAGCGCTCTGTCTCAAAACAGCCGGGAAGTATCGCCACCCAGGAACGGCTACAGCACGCACAGTCCCACCCCCCAAAGAGGGAGCAAACTGAGCCCCTCTCAAGGCTCCTGGCAGGGGTCCTCACACTCCTTACTCAGCCACCCTCCCTCTCGAGGTTCTTCAACGTCAAGACATCAACCAAGAGGTGTCGACTCACAGGTGCTCGGTGGTTTCCTGTCACCAGTTTCACCTACAGAAACCAATAAAGGCAATAAGGGAAATAATTATGTCAGCGGTGACAGAAGCAGGAGCAGCATTAGGAGAGGGATGGATGCCTTACTGATCTCTGAACCCAAGAAGGCGGAAGTGGAAGTGGAGGAGGTAAGTGTGTAAGGTGTTTCCAAAGCTAGCGAAATGGCTCAATTGATTTTAAAATTTGCTTGATGTGTTTTTGATTCGACTGAAATATCTTAAAATCATTCATGAGCAACAAGTAGATGGATTGCCATGAAATGTTGTAAATTCATGGTCCCTACAGGATGAGCTACCAACTCTCAATACGTTTGTGTATTACTAAATAGCTGCATTCAGTAAATCAGCCTCAGTTACACTTTGTGTTTGGTTCAAATGAGGAAACGCTAGCATGCTAACTCACTGAAATAATGTGCTTCACTTAGTAAATGTTATTGCTGGTGAACATTCCCAAGTCAGTGGGAACTTTACAATCTTGTGTTGTCAACATGCCAGCGCTAGCATTTAGCCTTACAGAGCGTTAGTGTTTTCTGTCTGAGATGACTCGTCGTACATGAAATCTTTTTAATCTAAGGTGGGGATGACCATGGACGACTACGTTGTCCTGGCTAATATTCCAAAAATCCATCTGGAGTCAGAGGAAGAGCAACCAGGTCTGAGGAAGAGGAACCAGAGTCCCAGCCCGTGCAGGGATCAGAAGCTAAGGACGTACAGGTTGGTTTGACCATCAATGGTACCTCATGCTATCATGCTGTAGCCTTAACACATGTCCTACGGCCTTGTATCTATTATGCATTCCTCGTATGTGTGATCTTTAAACTGGTCCTTTGGTGGCTGAGAGATTAGGAAAAATGTGGTGTAGCAAGTAGATACACTTTGAAGATTTCATTTGATCTGACCATAAGTAACCACCTTAGTCATGGTCAAAGAAACGTGGAGTTCTTGTGATGCCTTTGCAGAGTGAGAGTTCAGTTAGGATTTTATTACGTCGTAACTTGAGCCTAGAGTGCCAATGTGTTTGTTAGAGATTTACATACATGTTTAATTTATTAGTAACTATTTGATTTGGGTCTTAAGGTATCAAGATGAAACAGACTTCTTCAATCCAAGGTTTGAGTCAGACGAGAGGGGGAGGGGCCGAGAGAGAGGCCGAGACAGACGAGAGAAATGTCGGGACTCTGAAAATGGACGTTCCTCTAGGAGACAGTCAGCAGCATCACTTCATGCACAGGTACGACGCAATCACTGCAGACACTTTCACAATATTAAAAAAAACCCTCTTTTATCAATAGTTTGTAATACTGTCAGTTCATTTTTAAAGAGCCCAGATTGTCAGAGTGGAAAACACAGATCTTTGAAGACAAAGGAGCGAGCTCCTCTTGAACAAGCGCAGACACAGGTGAGCATGGTCCCATGACTTTCTGCATCTTTATAACTCACATGCCTGAGAAGAAACAGGTCATTCTAAAGAAGCCCTCTATATTAATCATGACACTTTTATCTAAGGTGTGCATCTACAGCAGCACCTTGCAGGAAAAAGAAGCCAGCAGTTAGCACCCCATGTTTTAGGGCAGTGTGTTCAAATGATTCATCACCTTTATATTTAGATTCTGGGTTGGTTCAAACAAATGTCTTCTGCAGATTTCGCACCAAAAAACTTTTTATTTCCCACCACAAAGAAATGGTTGACCACAAAAATGAAACAATCAGAATCGTATTATTGGAATACTTTTCAATCACGTGCAACAATTGAATCACTTTCCTTGATTTTTTTAGTTGACGTGTGCTCTCAAATTGTTGTAGAGTTTTTTTCAATTTCACTTAATTTTTCTCAATGTGAATGTCTCTCTCTCCTCTTAACATTATGCACTGGACATTATGCTGCATGCATGGTAAGTCTTTTTCCGCTGATAAGCCCTTAATAGTACATGCTTGCTGTCTTCACCACTTCCCCTTTCACTTCCTATTTCACACTGTTTAACAATGGGGATTAAACTCTGCAAAAGAATACCCGTCATCTTCGATTTATGTTCCCATTTGGCGGTGTAATTCCCATTTTTATGCTTTCATGTTCCGCATTTCTATCTGCTTTAGAATGATATAGTTATCTGACAGACGCATCGTCTGCTTCTCACAGTTTCTGTTTCCTCTATTTGACCATGATGTGTGAGAAAGAAAACACTACATAATGCTTTTCAAACTGCTTCATGTTGATACTCTAACTGCAGGTGTTGCTTCTGAAGGGCTGGATGTCAAGACTGGACGAGCATGGCAAGGTAAAAAGACGTTTTTGAAGTTGTTCTTCTAGTCTATTCCATTTCCTGCTGTAACCACAGTCTGACACCCTGACAGACAGTACAATACAGCAGCAACAATGCTTGGCTCTTACACTATCTAGACTGAAGTCCACATACCATAGTAATCAAATATTAGTCGACTGTTTCAACACAAAGACAAATGTAATGTTGTCTATTAAATCTGTGTTTTTCTAAGTGGAGGAAGCACTGGTTTGTTCTGGGTGACACTTCGCTGAGATACTACAGAGACTCGGAGGCTGAGGAGGTAGGACCTGATATGTGATCAGCAAGAGCATTGCTTTTCTAAGCAGTTTCACATTCTCTCCATACAGTCATTTTCATACAGGTTTAGTCACCATGATTTGATCAATTGTTCAGTGTGATTCAGTTCATTCAGTTCTTCTTCTGTGTTTGAGAAAAAAAAACACATTATGACTCATCTAAATTTAAGCTCTGTCTATTGCAGTCGGATGATCTGGACGGAGAGATCGACCTGACATCATACGTGAATGTGTCAGACTGTGATGTAGAGAAGAACTATGGACTACAAATACAAGTATGTATTTATTATACTTGTATTAATCGCATTGTGTTGTACAGTTAGACCAGCAGACAGATGGATGGACACACACAGATACCCGCACACACACTTCCCCTGTTTCCACAGTAATGACACGTTTGGCTGCTTCCTGTTTGACACTCTGTGTGCGTGCGTGTGCGTGTGTGTGTGTGTGTGCGCGTGTGTGTGTGACTTTGCTCTGTCTTTTGATCTCCTCCAGACAAAGAGAGCAGTGTTCACTCTCTCTGCGATAACGTCCAGAATACGGAGAAACTGGGTGAAGTTACTAAAGCAGGCCATCCAGAACAACACACAGTGAGTCTGAGCTCTTTATACTGGGAGACAGTGGTGTGAAGTATTCAAATAGTATAGTTTAGTAAAAAAAAATGTGTTGCAATATTACTATGAAGAAATTCCATGTTACGTGTAAAAGGCCTACATTTAAAATATTGCACACATCAGAATCAAAATGTACCAAAGACATACAAATTAAGAGTAGCCTTCTTCATGCAGACAAGCCAGTGTGAATCATGATAGTATTATTATTACTGATTTCTTAACAAAAGAAAATGTAAATATTAATTTGTGAACCATATTTTATAAACTCATCATCAGGCATGGCTGGTATAAATGGGCGTCCAGGTTAAAGTCCTAATAAGTTACAACAGATTGTTTTAATTTCGGTGGGAGCTAAAGCAGCAACCAAAGAATTGAGAATTAAGATTTTTTTTTTTTTTTTTTTTTTTTTTTTAAACAGCCCAAGCATTGTGGCCTCCTCTTCCATTCACTTTCATTATGAACAGCCCCTCTTATTTTTTTCTTATCATTTCTGCTAAATCAAATGACGGCATGACTCTGATGAAGGCCACAAGCCGAAACGCATCGCTCTAATTTGGTAATGAAGTTGATCGTCATACTACAAAGTGTTGCTGACCTCTTCAAGCCTTTCACTCTTTGTGCACCTTGTCAGTTGGTGAAGTTGTGCCAGAAAAATCCCACTCTGCCAAATGGCAATGTGGCAATATGTTGAATTTATTATTTATTTTGGCTTAAAAAAAACTAATGTGAAACGCGATGACAAAATACTCAAATACCATCCAGGGAAAACGTTATTGTAGTGAAGCTATAGCATGATTGAATGTGCTTTGACACAGCCTTCATCTCAAAATTATAATTAATTCAATCTAACGTCTCAAATTAAGTAAAGAATATTCGTCCCTTAAGTTACTTTTTCTCACTTAACAAACTAGTAAACTTTATTCTTTAAGCAGCACTGTGTTGTGTTTTCAGAAACTCACTTATTAAAACATTAATCCATGTTATTTATGTAAAAAGAATACAGAAACAGGGCATCCTTTATGATGATACTTCATGTTTATCGTGTTATTCTAGCTAATTAAGTTCAAAAACAAGCTCCCCATTGACCCAAAATTCCTGAACACCTCAAAGAAATGCAGACAATGTGATTGGGTGGTCTGTCTGTAACAAACCACCTCTATCATCTTTCTTCTGATGTGTAACCCTATCCTCCTGTCTCTCCCTTATTCTGACCTCAGCCAATCAGAAACCTGCAGCGAGAAAGAGAACCCCCTCTCCCGGACACGGTCGCCATGCCAACCCCCTGCTCGGTTCACCTGCGAGGACTCCAGCAATGAGCCTACCGGCGCCGCCTACACCACAAAAACTGCAAACCCACATCAGGCCGACCAACACCACAACAACCACCTCGACAGCCGCCGGACAGCCGCCGGAGACACGGACGCAGATTTATCTCCAACCAGTCAGAGAGAGGAGGGGGAGGGCTGGGACCGCGAACAAGCGAAGCGATTGGAAGAGAGGAACAAGTGGTTTGAGGAGGGGGTCCCCTTCAGCGAGATGGGCAGCAGGTGGGACTCCATGGAGCTGAAAAGGGGGAGTGTACCTGTGCCTGTTATTGAGACCATGGACTCAGAGGTCAGCAGGAAATGGGCGGAATTTGAGACATTTGGGGATATGAGCGCACAGTCTCTCATTGGAGCTCAGGACTATCAGTCAAGCTCCCTGCAGAATCTCAATCACTCCCAGACCAATCAATCGAGCTCAGAGGAGGCCAAACAGCCCGTCACTGTCTCAGAAAATGATTTATTAAGCTCATCCGTAAATGGCGCCCAAAACACTCAAACAAATGCAGCTGAAGTCCTTCAAAAGGAGGTAAGACAGAACATCAAGTCACTCCGCACATACGTTGAAAGTGATAAATAGAAAGTATTGTAAGACAAAAAAATGTATGTATGGCACATCTAAATCTTTTCCCTCTTATCTCACACTCTGCAAATCTAACCCCAGGCCCTCTCTCTTCGAAAACAAGTGGAGAGCATAAAGAAGGAGCGTGCAGCCATGGGGATAGAGGTAGAAAGGCAGTGTGGCCCTGGGGCCCCCTGTTGGGCCAGAATTGAAGCTATGGAAATAGCCCATCGGAAAGCACTGCAGGAGTTACATGAGAAACATGCAAAGGAGATCCGGCAGCTGGAGGATCAGAGAGACCGGATGTTGCAGGTTGAGAGACTGGCTGCTTCTAAAGGTTTGCAGCTAGTACAGCTCAGTTTGACTGTTTGAAATTCCTTTCTGCAAGTTGTTTGTTCATGCTACAGTCTTGATGAATTGTGTTGTTTTTTTAAGGAATGGAGGAATTGAGAGCGTCTCACAGAGCAGAGGTGGAGAGAGAGATGAAGAAGGCAAGCCGGCTGGCTGAAGGATCTGCACATGTGGAAACTTCATCCAAAGGCCAAATGTAAGATTATTAACTCCTCTCTACCATCATACTGAGAAACCGAGTCTCTGACAAGCTGCACGCTGCAGGCTCGAGATGTTCTGCACTTCACTATGACCCCTACCATAATGCTGCATTATAATTCAGTTTATAACTCGTGTCTGTGTGTGTGTCAGGCCCCAGGCGGACCACTTGTACAGTGAGTTAGATGTGCTGTCAGAGAAATACTCTCAGAAGTGCCTGGAGCTGAGCCGCACGGAGCAGAGCAGCAAGGGTCGAGAGACTGAGCTGTGTCTCAAGGAGAGAGAGCTGGAGCAGCTCAGACGAGAAAACAAGGTTAATACACAGGACTCATTTCTGTTAATAAATGGTTTGGGTCACCAGATTCTGTTTTTGTTTTTTTTGTTATCAAATTGAGGACACATAATAAGCAGCATTATAAATGAGCATTCTAGTTAAAGCACTGTATTTCTCCGTACCTTTAATACGCTATATTTATCTTTTGCAGGAACTGAAGGCCAAGCTGGCAGAAGAGATCAGCCGCATGCGTTATTTCATCACAGGCCAGAGGTCGGACACTTTATCTCTTGGCAACAGTGAGCGCCCTGCATCAGAAGTGGAGGTATTCATAGCAATTAGTCAATCTGTTACAACTAAATAGATCCTTGATCACCACTCATGGGAAGATAATTCATACTAAGCTATCTGACCTCCCACTGATCCCAACCCAGTCTTGAGATTTGCAACTGAATCATTAAGTTCAACTGGAAGGACGAATGTTGACATTGCTGTCTTCATGGGCGGCAGTAGCCCATGAAGTTGGTCTGGTAGCTGGAGAGGTGCCAGATCACCTCCTGAGCACTGCTGAGGTGCCCTTGATTAAAGCACCAAACCCCCTCCCCACCACCAACTCATGAGCACCCGCTGTGGGCGGCTCTGTCACTCTGATATCTCTCTATTAATGCAAGTCTATGGGATCCTGTTTGTGTATGTGTGTGTGTCGCATCATAAACAGACTGTAAAAACAGAATTTCACCCTGCGAGGATCAATAAAAGTTCATCTTAATCATGGGGAATAACAAAAGTACCGTTTGTTGTGGGAGTGTGAGACCACTTTAGTAAAACTAATTGATGAAGAGCATTTTATCATTTTGTCTTGTCCCCCCTGTTGTAAACGTATTTCTATATTTTCCTGTGGCCTCATTTGTGTCAAGCTTCAGTGGTCACACGTCCTAGTACAGCACACACTGCTGCCACCTAGTGCCTGAATCATGGTAAATGTTTCATTACACAAATGTAGCAACCATAACTTCTTCTGCAGTGACAGGATTTATGGGAAGAGTGCCTGAAAGACACAGTAAAAGTAGCGAGAGTACACTAAAAATTCTCCTTTATAAGTGAAAATCTTAAAAAGAAACAAGAGAAAATGTACTGGGAGTTTTATTTACTTTTTCCTTGTACAAAGGTTTTTCTTCCTCCTGCACCTTTTCGTTCTTTGTAAAGGCAAAAAAAAAAAGTATTCATCTACATGGTACGGCTTAAAAGGTATTAAATAAAACAAATTAAATGTGTTATGCAGGAATGAATTACTTTTATTAAGACAGTTTGTTGCGGATGGCTCGATAAATCTTAAAATCTTTGCAGTATGAAGCTCAGATGTGGTTGAAAAGAATTAAAGTAAAGTGTAAAGTACGATGCTCTCAAGGAGAGTACAAATACAAAGACCTCTCCTCTCCTGCGATGACACACACGGTGACTTTACATTGATATGTGAAGATGTATTTTCAGTGAAAAGTTTTGTATTTTGTCTTTCAGTTGTTACTAAGAGCAAAAGATAATGAGGTGCAATATCTAAAAAAAGAAATCAGCTGTCTACAGAATGAAGTTAAGTCTCTTACCAAGGTATGTTTTATGATCCACCCATCATAAAGACAACTTTTCTATATAGTTTGTACATTTACATTTATTTGAATGCTTCCTCTCTGCTTTGTCTTCAACCCTTTTTTCTAGGAGAAAGACACAGCTTTCGATCGGTATCAGGAGGCCTACGTAGAGCTGAGTGAGTTGAAGGGTTGGAGTCGGTTAGAAACGGGATCGCTCAATGAACACTTGAGACTGGCAAACGCCGCACTTCAGGAGGGAACGAGAAACACCTGACAAACAAGGACCACTGTCAATGAACTTACCTCAAAGACAGCAAGCGCGCAGAAATAACAAAGTATGTCCAAAGCATCATTACAGTGAGATAAGAAGATATGAACTGCTGTTTTCATTGAAAAGATTAAAAATGTCCCGTGTAAGATTTATGGAGACGACTGTGTTCTTTGAGATGCAAAGACTGTTGTGATTAAATAACAACACATGATTCTCTGTGTGTGTTATCGACTCTGTTTATTAAGTTGATAGACACAAACATGCAAACAAGAGTGAAGGCATAACAAGTGGTTTTGACAGCCTCACATGATATGATATTTGAAAAATAATTTAGTGTAAACATAAACAGCAAAGGACAGACGAAGAAGCTCAGTTTGGATATTTTAGGAAGTCAAAGCGCCCCATCTTTTCCTCTCTTCCTGTTGCTTGCTGGTATGCTTTCAGTCCATATTGCAAAGCACCCTGTGGATAGAAACAAAACGAAAAAAATGTCATCAGCTTTTTACTGTTACCTGTTGCCATCGTATCAGAAATGCCACAAACTACACCCTTTCACATGTACCCATTAATCATTGATGAGATATGAACCTAAAAAGGTCCAATCAGAAGTGTTTACAGGGTAAATAAGTGTGGGGGGGGCTAATGGCCATTTTACCTTAAGCATTTACTTTTTCTGTAGTTAGCTCAGTCATCATCGTCGTCATCCTCAGGGACAAAGATGTCATGCTCCTCCAGGAGAGCTGCAAAGTTCTTGCTTATCAGAGTTCCCACATACAGGAAAGGCACCACCACCACTGTCAAGCGGATCAGACCAAAGGATGTCTGTGGAAAATAAAGAGGGATAGTTAAAACATAATTATTCAGATGAAAGGTGCCGACTAAAACACACATTTAATCCCCACCTCAGTTTGCCCCGTGGATATTTTGGTCCACGTTTGTGATTATGGGCAGCTGTTTCACCAGAAATCTAATCTCCTCAAGTTAATATAGCAGAGCAAAAGAAAAGAAGCTTTGCTCACAGGGGTTCGTGCATTTTTGCCTAAAATGGCAGGGGATCATCTCAGGCAGCCACAGCTGGATCGAGAGGGCACTGAGACCAAATATGTCTGCAGGAGGCGTGACGAATAACATGTCCCACAGGTTGTGTGCTCTGTTTCCACACACTCGAGCTTTAATCTTTATATCATGAGTCTTCTTATTAAAACGTCTTTGAATAAAAGGTTCACATAATCTGAATAAATTGGGGCTGTCTGGAAATGAAATGAAACATGAATCCTGTTTGCCTGTGTTTTAAAATAAATGCAAAAGGCATTTATAATGTAATATATTATAATATGTTAAATTGCACCTCATTAAATCATGCTTCAAACAGAATAATAAAAAGACAAAAAAAACAGTGAGATGCAATAAAGGCTCATGTTTGCACTAGTTTTCTATCCAGCTATGAGCTTTAATTTGTCTCCTGGCTACGACCTTGTTGTTTCTGTTTAGTTCAGGAGCGAATATTAAATCACGAGAAGTAAAGTTGAATTAAAGAATAAAAAGGATTACCTTTTAAGTCCCACCCATTAAATATCTGCCAGGGCCTAAACGTTTCAATGTTAGAGCTATCTGTGAGTGTGCCGGGGGAAAAAAACGAGATGTACAACGCTGGGTGTGATTACAGTCTCATCAGAGAGACGGGTGTTACAGTGCTAAACGGAAACATTATCCTTGACCTTTCTCGTCTTGCCAAGACGCACACCTGGTGCTTAAAGTGCTGCACACATCTACATCTACACTATTATCATTAAATAAACAATGAACTAAACAATAATACACATGTAGACAAGGAACCACATAGCTACCAATAATAACAAACAACAACATATGGCATATTGCAAAAACATCAGTATAAAACACATTATCAGTGAAAACATAAGAACACCATGATGCTTTTGCATAACCTCTACAGCCTCAATAAACAGGACTAAATTGAGGGGGGCACAAACGAGTTTTTAAATTGGTTCAGTTTTGTTTTCTGCATTTCTGTATCGTCTGTCATTCTCAGAATGGAGGAGGTGAGATGGGTCAATACTCTCTGTGCTTGCCTCAGAACAGACTGCACCTATATTGACTAAAGGGAGAGGTTTTCCTCCTCTAACCTTCAAGGCAGTCTGCACCAGACGGGCAACCTTATATTTCTTAGGTCGATTTATTATGCGCCAACTAAAACCATTAATCATAAGAAAGTAATGTTACTTAACATAATTTCTATTGCTTTATCAAAATGCCGGTTTTAAATCAATAATTTTGTTGAAGGTAGGATTGAGACACTTCCTGAAAGTAGCAGAAGGCTACTTTCTGTAAACACGCCTTCATTGGCTGATTTAAGGAACGCCTGCGCCTGTTCTGTCGTCACACTGGCAGCTTGAAGTGTCAATCACCGGTCAACCATCATGTCCCGCCCACGCTGTCAGTCATATTTCCCTATCGGTAACGAGGATAGAACAAACTCACTTTATTCGGTTTCGGTAAGATTGCCCCCGATGGCGTTGATACTGCGCTCCGGCTCTGCGTCGTCTTCGATATGTTTGATGTTTTGAGGCCGGTGTTACGACTCACTAGCCCCATATTTTTGGTGGAAAGTCGCAGTGGGAGCCGCAGTAAACTGGTCGCCATTTTTCCAGTTTGTCTGGTTGCAGGTTGTGACGTTTCTATGGGAGGAAACGGCACGCAATGGGCGCGTCTTCTTCACCCCTATGGTCTTTACGTTTGAAAAAAAAACACAACTCTAATTTTAACCACATAATAATTCCATGTATTCGTTATAATTACCTACACATAAATCTCAGTCCAGTTCATTTCTTCATTTCTGCAGCTCTGACTTCTTAAACACAAATTCACCAACCAGTGAATTAAATTGTGTAATATGGATATCTACAAAAGGTGAAGCTAAATTTAAAATCCAAATGTAATTCAATAAGGGCTTTATTGGCATGGGAAACATATGTTTACATTGCAAAAAAAAAATCTGAAATGAAAATAAAACACAAATAGTGCAATAAAAGATAAAAAAAAAAAAACATTAAAGTAACAGAGCTGTGCAGGATTGTAGTATAACAAGGTGTACAAAATATATAAACAGTTTGTGATTCAATTAAAAATACAAGTTGAAAATGTAACTTTGTTCTTAAAACATTTCATTTCTTTATTGTATGCTGTTTTTTATCGATCGCTGTTTTTAAAATGTGATTGTTGTACAGTGTCCTTGTGTGTCTTGAAAGGCGCTTATAAATAATTTATTATTATTAAAATATTATATTAAAATTATCAAGATACATAAAATGAATTAACATTTTAAATAATTATGTAAATATTTAATTAATTAACGATGTGTTTCATAAATTATTTATTTATATATTACCAATTTTAAATAATGAATGACACATTTAAATAATTATTTAATTATGTAATAACACATGCATTTAATTAATTAAATAATTATATATTTATTTATATATTTGTTGATTTATTTCCAATATTAAATAATTGATGACACATTTAAATAATTATTTAATTATTTAATAACACATGCATTTAATTAATAAAATAATTATATATTTATTTATATATTTGTTGATTCATTTCCAATATTAAACAATTGACGACACATTTAATTAATTATATATTTACATATTTCATTTTGGCACTTTTAGTCCTCCATACCCAGGAGCGTAGAGCTCGCGTCAGCAGCGCGCTAACTGCAGAGTCGGATTCACGGGAGCGCGCACTCTGCGGTCATGCGCACGGCACGGAGGGGAAGCGGAAAGACGGAAGAAAGGACGTCCAACACACTCGCGAACTTCTAGCTGACTTGCTAGAAAATACAGTTAAACGCGACGCTAACAGGAGAAGTGGTTACTTATTTCGGCACAGGTTTAAAAATAGGTTAAACGCCCCGTCTGTCTGCAGTCAGTCACCGCCCTCTCAACTCGACCAGGAGGGGAGGCGGTGGTGGTGAAAGGGAAGGGGGGGGGACTGGACTCCGGCAGTTTTCAAACAGACACCGCTCACTACCTCGAAGTCCTCCACCGTCATACATTCACATTTCAACCAACCCGTGTAAAGTGTCGTGAAAGACAGTGACTTGAATTAACCTTACACCTCAACCCCGCTCGGTGCCTCCTCGGCGGGACCGGAGCGCCCCCCCCTCTCTCTTTTTTTCCGCCTTGTGTGGAAAAGTTATCGGCGGTGGAGGAGGAGGTGGAGGACGAGGAGCCAGGCGGGCCTTGCTGTCGAGGAGGCTGCATGTGTGAGGAGGACTGTGTCCGGCCGAGGAGCGACACACACACACACACAGCGATAAGAGAGCCTAAACACCCAGGAACATGTCGGCCCAGGCGCAGATGAGAGCCATGCTGGACCAGCTCATGGGGACGGGGAGAGACGGTGAGATGTGATCGCAGCCTGGGACACGAGTTTGTGTTGTTGCTAAGCATTAGCCTCCTAGCTCACCAATCCGTGAGGCATGGCTCTTAGCTTCCCTGACTTTGTAGCCAGCCCGGTTAGCATAAAGCTACCTGTTGTGTGTGTGTGTTTGAGTTTACATGCACAAGTTTTTAAGTTGCTGTGCTTAACATCTTTAGAAACCTCCAGGTGGATTTTAAAAGTCAGTGTAATCCTGTCGCAGTTTGTGTTGTTGTCTCTTTTGTAATCAAAACTTTAATGCGAGCATGGACCGCTGAGGTGTTACCAGATGTGTGACTCATTCATCGCGAGGTTAGCAAGTTTAAAAAAACCACCCAAGAAGAAGTGCGAGGCAATTAATCGAGTTTAAATTTTCCAATTACGGATTTGTTCCCCCCAAAGATAATGGAAAACAAGATAATGGAGATTAAGTGATTACTGTGCCGCATGTTGTGTTAAGCACGTTTTGTCATGTGTGGTAAAAGTGCAACAGTACAACAATACTGCTGTCTCCAAAACGTAGTTCATTTATTTTTATTGAGTCATAATTATTATTATTATTATTTTTTTTACATGTGCTGTATATATTTTTTCCACTTATTGCTTGTTTTTCAAAGTGTTAAAATTCACAACAGGCTCCTAAGTCTCTCGACTAGACCAGGGGTGGGCAACTGGCGGCCCGGGGGCCCCACATGCGGCCCTCGTCAACCCCTCAATGTGGCCCTCAGGTCAATTTTTACATATCAAAACATGACAAAATCTGCCTTGAAATCATGAAAACCAGAAATATTTCCATAATAATATTTGATCACTGGTATATGGTGAGTTAAATTTGAGACATAATTGACTGTAGTCGTTTTTGTAATCTACAATTTGGCCCCCCTGGCAGTCAGAATTAAATGAATGTGGCCCTTGCTGTGACCAAAGTTGTCCATCCCTGGACTAGACTCTTCTCGTCTGTCGCCCCCCCGGTGGTGGAACGAACTCCCAAACTCCATATCGATCTGCAGAGTCCCTCTGCACCTTTAAGAAAAAGCTAAAGACCCAGCTCTTTCATGAATACCTACTAACCTCATGATGATGGTCTCCATATTATTGATGATGACGATGGTTTTTGTTTGATAACGATGACTTACAAGATGGTTTCTATACTGATTAGAGCTCTCAAGAACTGCCGTCAATGTTGTGCTTTGCCTCTGGTCACTTCCTGTCAGTGCCTGTGTGTCCAATCAGACTCAAAGCTGATTGTTTGCTCTTACTGACATTGTTCCCTTTTTATCTAGATCCTTGCTTGTGTTGTACTTACTCTCTGATGTACGTCACTTTAGTTAAAAGCGTCTGCTAAGTGAATTGTAGAATTGAAATGTTTGATGATCCTGATCTCAATCAATAAAAAGATTAAAATAATCATTATGATTCATGCCATAATCGAACAGCCCTAACCTCGAGGTGAAACATCCGTCTGATTTTCTCTTTCTCTTTCTTCAGGAGACATCATGAGGCAGAGAATCAAGTTTACAGATGAGCGAGTCTGCAAAAGTCATCTTTTGGACTCCTGCCCACATGACATTCTGTCTGGCACTGTGAGTACCATGTTTGTAAGCACCTACAGAGAGCATTATTATGTATCACACAAATTGCTTCCAGAAAATATGTAAGGAAAGCTACACGTGAAGGTAGCTGCAATATGCTACAAATAGTACAATTTGTCAGCTGGTGTTTATGTAAAGAACTCCTGCATGGTGTTGCCTGTAAACAATTGAATGTTTCTGTCCGATTAAACAATTGGACTGAAATGTAAATAAGAGTGGAGTTCAAAAATGATGAATTTGATGTGAACACACCAAATACACAGTCAGAACTTCATGCTCAGTATGTCTCCTTTCTTTCAAATTCAGTAAATCAATAAAGTCAGTGTTAAGGACAAGGCCCTGCAGCACTGTGATTCCCATCCACAGTCCCGATTAAGACATTCATAGTGGTCTACAACATTTAACACTAGGATTTGTGGGTTTGACTAGTCTCAGGATAGGTTGAAGAGTTGAACATACCTTCACAGTGTTGATGTTTTTCTGATTCCTGCAGAGAATGGACCTTGGAGAGTGCATGAAAGTTCATGATTTGGCCCTCAGAGCTGACTATGAGATTGCCTCTAAGGAGCAGGAGTTCTTCTTCGAGCTTGATGTGAGTCACACACACACACACACACACACACACACACTCATGCCTGTTTTACTCAGCTTATTCAAGGTAATACAGTTTTGCTTCTGTTCCATCTCGACATCTGTGTGAAAAGTATTGTTCAGCCATATGACAGCAGTATGACTTCAATGTTTAATTCCGTATAAAGGCAGCATAGCGGCACAGTTTGTTGTAACTAAGAATTTATGATTTGATATAGATCGATAAATTATGGATTTAGTTTTTCATATTCCTTCCTTTTTTTTTTTTAGTTTTACCTGGAAGAAACATAGTTCACAGCACTTTAAACTTGTACCAGCTGGCTACTTTCTTAGCAATTCAAGATGCTGTCTTTTCTTATGATTTTTGACATAATGCTTTAGTGTTTTAAGTAGTGTGCTCGCTTCTCTTGGAGTCAAGAGGATCTCCGCAGAAAACTCTGCTCCTGGCAACAACAACAAAAATGTTGGCAATGGACACTGAAGTGTCTTTTAGCGATTAGTTCAGTTAAATTTACGGTTCATCATGCTGCCTCTGCATCTGTGTTTTAATGATGCAGCTAAAAACTCACAGCCCCACGTCTTCAGGACTCATGAGTCAAATTGAGCCCTTGTCTTTCGGGTTATGTTCAATGAGATCATACTTTACATTTACATTGCTAAGAGGGTACGCGTTAGGCAGGCATAAGTGCAGATTTCTATAAAATGTCCTTTTACCCGTTTAATCTCCTGTTTACCCTAGAGCGATAATAATGCAGGAAAAAGTCACCATCACATAAATGTTTCACTCAAGCTGAACTTTAAGAATCCTATGTTGTCCTCTCACCCACAACAGCAGTTCAGCTAATTCTCCACCCTCACAGTCCCGTTTTAGGTGTCATAACCTGATCATTGTAATAGTTAATATCCCTACTTTAACTGCATGTCCTCATGTAGGCCATTGTCAGTTAATGCTAGTAAATTATTTAGACTGTATTAAGAGTTGACAATTGAAACTTAAAGGTCAACTCCAGCACACTGCCTCACTTTCAAACAAACATTCATTGGCAATGTTTCGGTACTAGACCTTCATCAGGCATTAGGTGAGATGACAACCGTTAAGAGAGCATGATGGTTGTCATCTCCTCCACTCTTCACCTGATCATCTAAATGTTGCAAAAGCCAAAGAGTGTTAAACTGGAGGATTTGTTTTCAATCATTTCATAACATTCATCCCCTAAACAGTTACTAGAACAGCACATCATGCTGACAACAAAGTTTTCTCTTCCCTCCTTCATGGACATCCTTCACATCATCATAATCTCTCCTCTGATGTCCTGATGGTTTCTGCGTCCACAGCTATCTGTGTCTGCCCACATCCAGAGTCGAAGATCTTGCACTGCCTTTTATTTTCACAGTTAATTCGTAGTGTGTATCTGGAAACAGAAAACCCCTCATGGATTTGTGTTTCTCACAGGCTGCTGAACACCTTCAGTCCTTCATCGCCGACTGCGACCGCAGGACCGAGCTAGCCAAGAAGAGACTCGCCGAGACGCAGGACGAGATTAGCGCTGAGGTGGCTGCAAAGGTGACAAACTTTCTTTTTGACATTTCTTGTGAGTTTTCCCATCAGGTTGTTATGGATGCTGTGCTGTTTCCTTTTACAGGGAATGATTAATGTCCTGAGAGTCTATTCTGAATTTCAAATCTGTGAAAACTGTTGGTGTTTACAACTAAGAGCTTTTTTTTTGGTCTCCTTTTCTCTTGCTATGAAAAGGCTGAACGTGTACACGAGCTCAACGAGGAGATCGGGAAGCTTCTTGCCCGGGCGGAGCAGCTCGGGGGGGAGGGGAATGTAGACGAATCCCAGCAAGTGCTGGAAATGGTGGAGAAGACCCGGGCCTTAAAGAAGGAAGCAGAGGTCAGTCATTGAATGCTTTGTTGCGCCAAGTTTGTAACATTAGAATAAATAAATGATTTTACTCCCATCACCAAAATAGACTAGAAATAAGAGTTAATCTTTGTTAACATTTATGGTTTATTAATGACATCAACAGTGAACTTCCTCAGTTACTTATTGTCATACTTAGTGTAATGTAACTGTAACTAAAAGCAGATGAAACATCTCTCACTGCACTGTTAAATATTTGTTTTAGTGGTTTGTCTGGACTGAATTTGCTTTTCTTGTCTCTCAGGATGTGTACAGAAACTCAATGCCGGCCTCCAGTTTTCAACAACAAAAATTACGGGTATGTGAGGTGTGCTCCGCCTACTTGGGTCTCCACGACAACGATCGGCGTCTAGCTGACCACTTTGGGGGCAAACTGCATCTCGGCTTCATTGAAATCCGAGAGAAGCTCGATAAGCTAAGAGTAAGTGGTGCTCTGGAACTAGTGTGATTATTAATCAATAAGATACATTTAGTAATAATCGTGTTTCTTTCATTGATACTGTTTGAACATAAACAGCTTGTTTTTCATCAACGTTAAATTCTTATTTGTTTAAATCTAGAAAGCAGTGGTAGAAAAACAAGAGCGAATGCGAACCAGAAGACGAGAGGAACGGGAAAAGGACGATGAAAGAGAGCAACAGTGGGAGTTGGAGCGGGAACGAGAGAGGGAGCGGGAAAGAGAGCAATGGGAGCGAGACCGAGAAAGGGAGAGGGAGCGAAGGAGGTAAGAAACAGTTTGATTTTCACTTTCTAAAAGGCTTGGTGTTGTATAAAAACTTTAAAAAATTGTTTTTTGTTTCTCTCTTAGATCAAGATCTAGAAGTGGAGAGCGATACAGGTATGTCTGCGAGTGGTCAGAGAAGCTTCAGAGACTTTGAATTTCTCACAATGTAAAGACTCCTGGTGCTCAATGCCTGCAAACTCCAGCTGTGTGTCCAGTTTACAAAGATCTCTAGATGGAAATAATACACATTGTGTTGAAAAAAATTAATTCTCTATGAATGTATTTTACAGGGAGGGAGGCAGTTCGTCCTCCCATCATTCTTCAAGGCGGCACCGCTCCTCTCGCTCCAGAGAAGAAGGTGGAGAGCGTGATCGTGAGAGAGAGAGGGACAGGAAACATCGACACAAGGACAGGCATCGCTCGCGCTCCCACTCTCACAGACAAAAAAGGAAGAGGTGTGGCTTTTCTCAGTCACCAGAACTTGCATGTTTTGAAACTACATTTGAGATGTCCTCCTTAACTAACTAAACTCAAGTCATTCAACTTTTAACCAGTGAACCAATTCTTAGCGTACATTCAGGACTCAGGAATACACACCAATAAGCCATAACTATATGACCATATATGCAGTTTTAAATCTTTGAAATACAACAGCTCTGCCATAAATTCTGAATCCATTAGGATCTCTTGTGAAATCCAACACAACAGCTCTGCCATACATTCTTCAGCCTGAACACTACATTTTATGAAGCTTCTAAATTTCCAGTTTTTGTTGACATGGTCAGAAAGTGAATAACTCTACTCTAAAAAATGTTTTTATTGAAGTCATAGTAGTTTGTGGTTGTGAACTAGAGTGCATAAAATTTTAAATGTGCTCCCCTCTTGTATTTTATTGGATTGGGCAAGGTAGTAGATACACACTTCTATATAATATATTCCAGTCCAGCACCACCAACACCCACAATGAAATCATTAAAGCATATAACATATGGGCCCCCTTGCAATCTTTTTAGCCGCCCCAAAATCCTTAACTATTATTGGCTGTTGCCTTATCAGAGGTGGGACTTATGTTGAAATCCACTATTCAGGCTGTGTTGCAACAGCCAGCTCATGGTTTTCAGTGTTTGTATGCAGTGCAGAGGTTTGTTTGCAATTATTCAGTCATTTTAGAAATACTTAAAATTGTGACTTTAGACTTAAAAAAAATTTCATCTAAGAAGATCTACGTGTAAAAGTCTATTTGATTAATGCAGACTGGACTGAAGATGTAAATAAATGCTCTTCATTCATGTGTGTGCACACAAACTTTAGACCACCCCTGCACATGTCAGCGCCCCAGTCGGGCCACCCCAGTATAATTCTGAACACGGCCCTGATGCCAAACAAAATGTGACCTGTTTTAAGCCAGACTCTATTCAGATTTAACCAATCGGTTTGTCGTTCTACAAAATAGGCAAAAACAGATGTGAAGATAATCAGTGACTTCAGTTAGCCATTTCTCCACTCAGGATCGACAGCGTCTTTCTGAGTCTAACATTTATCACAGGTCTTTGTAAATTATTTTTCTGTAGATTCTTAGAATGTTTTTTGACAAAAAGCTGTCTGAATACTTTACCTTCTTTGTTGTTTTGTTTGGGATTGCGTATTATGCCGTTTATGAATGTAAAAATTACTAATTTATCTTTAACACAACAGACAAATGAATCTACAATGAAAATAAGTTCAACTTACTTTTAAGTTTCCATCCACATCACCACTCAAGCTTTGCAACATTAAACACTGAAAACCAGCAGTAAAATAAAAACAATATTTGAGTTTCAAAAGTTGATGGCAGACACTAGCTTGGACTCTTTCCTCTTCTTGTACTTATAAAGAATTGTTTGGCCTCTCTAAAACTGGTCAAACTGGTTCTAGGTTAACCTGTTTCAAAAGATAAAGAACCATCCAGACAGTGTTTTAAACCTGTCCTTCAAGTGATCTGCCAAGGATTTTTATGTAATCTGTTGTGTATTTTTTTTTCTTTCTTTTTTTTCTTCAGGTCCTCAAGGGAAAGAACTTCTCACACCCGAGAGAGAGAGCGCTCGCAATCCCAGGAGAGAGGTGCAGAGGGCGCAGCAGAGGGCGCAGTAGAGGGCGTGCGTAACGACAGGCCAGAGTGTGGAGACTGGCAGGACAGGGAGCAATCCCCTTCTGTGGACACAGCCAGGGGGAGAGAACGAGAGAGATCCCTTTCTTATGAGCGGGACCGTCGCTCCAGCTCAGAGGAGCGAGAGTCCGGAGAGATATGAACTGGACAACCTCCAAAGTCCTTTAATTTGGATTTTTGAGTGAAGAGGAGCATGGAGAGACGAGTGTGTGGCGGTGCGTGCGAGTGTGTTTCGGCTTTGTATGCGTGTTCATGTTAAAAGCAGGACATGTACATTAGCAGGGATGAAATTCTGAAAATAAACTTGGGAATGAGGGAACAACTTCAGCGGTGGTGGTCAAAGAAACATGCATACAAACTTTTATAAGACTGCATTGTTGTCCTAGTGAGACCTGGAAGCATGATAGTCATTTTTTATGTCATTTTGTCAATCTTGTGTACATTTTCTTTGACAGCGATGAGGGATGAGTGAGAGCAGTCCTACTTAAAAACCTTCTTTATTTTTCTCACATGAAGTGCTTTTATTTTATTTTTTACCAGTAGTCGGTTCTTTGATTTTATAACTGTTTGTTATGTTCCTTTAGGAATCTTACCAGTTTCTGCATCTCTGGATCCCTTTTCTCGGGTTGGGTTCATTAATAAGTGGCATAACCCTCGCAGTCCTGTTTGAAATGAGCTGTTTATGACTGAAGGCACTTATAATGTTTGTGTTTTATCGGCTGCCTTTAAGCCATACCAATCTCATTTGAAAAACTAGATAAACATCCCTGAGCTTGTCCATCATTTCAGATGCAGTGACATGCTGGTACTTTGAAAATAAACTCACTTTCCCCCCCTTGAAGAAGTCATCCAAATGTTTCAGAGATGTGTATGCATAAAGGGGAAGCGGATCGTTACATCCTCACTCTTAACGGTCTGGGAGTCTGTGTCCCGTTTGCTGTGATACAACCTGGTAGCACTGGGGGAATCTCTTTTTTTTTTTTTTTTTTTTTTTTTTTTGTTGCTGTGCCATCATTAAGTGAATAAAAATGTCTGCCTTCTTACAAATGCAATGTGTTTATACAGATTTCTCTTTAAATCTCCGTTTGTAAAAGTTCAGGGTTCAGATACTGACTTGCCCATTAAAGGTCGTCCACATAACTGGAAGATTAGCAGTTTGATCCCATGCTTCTACAGTCCTGTGTTACAGTGCACTTAACATACTGACCCTTTTATTGCTCTATCATTTATGTGTGAGTGTTAATGACTATAAGAATGGATCCTAGTGAGCATCTTGGCAGCTGCCTTTGTCATCGGTGAGTGAATTTTGACATACGGTACAGTGTAAAGGGCCAAGTCTATTTTCTAGTTTTTGTAATAACTGTTGCGGTAAGAGCTTGTTTATTAGGTAGAGGACCTCTTTGACTTCCAAAATGACTGGATAGATATCCATAAATGTAAGAATGACAGTTTTAATATAACACAAGGTACACCAAAAATATGCAGATGTGTCAAACCTTTAAAAATATGTGTTATTTTATTTCATTACAATTGCAGTTTTTTTAAGTGTTGTGAAAACTGGTGTTTTACTTGCAGGTTATTCTTGCTGAAATTCATTCGGGTACATTTCCATCTGATGTTGAATCATTGCACAGTGCACATAATACTGCAGAGACACTGAATCCTCTCCTGCTTCTGCAGCTGTGACTTATTTTTTGCTGATTGTTGTCCCTCTAAAGAGGAAAAACAGGTGCAAAACAAGACGTAGTGAATTACAAATACTGCATTTTTCTTCAAACACATATGGAAGCCCATTTCGAAAGTAAAAAAAAAAAAAAAATGAAAATAATAAAGTCATAATAATGAGATAAAAAGTCGAAATAATGAGATATAAAGTCATAATAATGTGATCAGTCAAAATTATGAGATAAAAAGTTGAAATTATGAGATTAAAAAATTGAAATTATGAGATATAAAGTCAAAATTATGAGATAAAAAGTCAAAATTATGAGATATAAAGTCAAAATTATGAGATAAAAAGTCAAAATTAAGAGATATAAAGTCAAAATTATGAGATATAAAGTCAAAATTATGAGATAAAAAGTCAAAATTAAGAGATATAAAGTCATAATAATGAGACAAGTCAAAATTATGAGATAAAAAGTCAAAATTATGAGACTTTATTATTTTCATTTATTTATTTATTTTTTACTGGCGGAAATGGGCTTCCATAAACACAATATGTACCTTAAATAAATATCTAAATCGTAAGTTGTAAATTGTAAAAACTCCTGGCACCCGGTAGGTGGCGAAAAACAACTGATAAACGAATAGAAGGTGAAACGTCACAGCGGAAGAGTCGAAAGCGGCCTCCTCCTTACGTGAAAACGTGATGACGTCGAACGCACGTTTCGAAAAGAAGCGCGAGTTGAAATGTAGAAAATAACAAGCGGCTCCTCTCTCCGGGTTTCTCTCTGCTCACTGACGAAGCCGAGGCTGTTTAAAGTGTTTTCATCAGGATGTCATCGCTGAAGCCGTTCAGTAAACTGCCCGCGTTGAACTCAGCGAACATCTTGGTGAGTTGTTTGTGTTTTATTGAATTATTTGCAGCGACGTGGACACACACATGACAGCTGACTGAAGACGTCACAGTGTAGTCTGCAGCTGCTCTCACCATAAACTTACAACACATTAAAGTGTTTTAAAGCAGGAGAGCTTTGTCATAATCTATAATAGTGTTGGTGCATTCTTATTTTACAGATAATCTAAACATATTAAAACGTGTTTACCCCCTTTGTTAAAGCAGGTCCACATTTAAAAACAAAAACATAATGTGCATAGTGCCTGAAATGGTGTTCAGATGTCAGAATACATATTTTTATTATTTATTGAAATGTATTATACTAGGATATGCCCCTTGAGGTGTATCATTTACAAAGACAAAACATAACACTACAGACAAAACAAGCAAAAAATAATACATAAGCCTACAACAAAAAAAACATAAAAACAGGGGACAACACAAAAATCAAATACAACAATTACAACTACAGGTTTCGAGTAGACGCCTTAGAGGAGAGAGGCTCAGTCTGCACACAGAGAAATAATAAACATAAACAGTGTTACTGAAACAGACGCAATCAGTTTGAAGATGAGAAAACAAAACATTTTTAAATAAGTAGAATGATGACAAAGAACGGAGACGTGTAGGTAACTTATAAATAATTACATTATCATCTGCAAAGAAAAGAAGGAAACAACATTTCAGCTGAATGTGATTATCTTTTTGTTACGTGTGAGTAATACGAATGTTAAGCTCAGTAAAACGCCCCTCCTCCAAAAAAGTAATCAAGCTGAATTACAAATTAACTCTTGACACATTTATTAAAAATGCACCCGAAGGTGTTGTGTTTGGTATTTGTACGTATGTCTATAAATCATCAGTAGGTATTAAAGGTGTGTGAAACAGATGAATGACAGGGGTTGTAAATCACCTTTAGAAAAAAAAAAAAAAAAACAGTGCAAACAATTTACCATTCTGCTTAACATTTTTTAATTTATTTAAAGTTGAGCAGAAGTAGATTGAACACATTATAACCACTTCAGTGAAGCACAAACATAAACACAGTATTTGAGTAGGGCTACTCACGTCCCCTCATAAAGTCAAGTACATAACGTAAAAATCAAACTTTATTTGGAGGTAAGAGTCGTGTTTTTAAATTCTTTTGATTGTCACGCTGGTGTGTTGTTTTGCAAAGGGATATCTGGTTTTGTGCTGACATGGAGTGCTTTCTTTTCTCCAGCTGGTGGAGTTTGAGGAGCAGTTTCAGCTGAGTTTAGCGGACGCTCTGGTGGAGGAGACTGCTGTCACTGTGAATGTGTGAGTACTGCTCCTTCCTGTTCAAGCGCTGGAAAACTCTGTCTGTTGTCAGATACAGCAGGAAACACCTCCTATTGTTCTGGTGATAAATGTGTTTTGTATAGCTCTTCACTAATGCAGCTTCTCTTGGTTTGTAAAAGTTTCTATATCTGACCTGGCTCTCAATAATAAGGCTGCAAAATAAATGTATTGGCTCATCATGTTTGCCTCAAACAACCCTTCTGAGTTGTCTGATGCCCTGGACACATTGGAGTGGTAAACAATGGGCATTTTGTCCATCTGTCCCATCCATTCAATTAAACAAAACTAAAACATGACCGTCACAGTTTGTCACATATCAGTCACCATAAAACACCTGAAAACAAGTTTTGTTTTTTGTTTAATGCACCAACCAGGAGACTAGCTAAGAGTCTGCCCCTGCCCAAGGAGAATGAGGAGAGCCGTCCGAGGATAGACCTGGTGGTGTTTATCATCAACATGACATCAGAGCTCAGGTAAATCTTAACATGTTTTGTCTTCTCATCTGGTTTCATTTCCTTACATTCAGACACACTAAACAAATTACATAATTGTATTTGTAGTTTTAGTTGACTTGAATGAAAGTGGATTCATTCTAGCTGGTTGTTGTCCTTTAAAAAGTCCTTACTGCCACACATGTACGATAATTGTAAAACCCAGTGTAGCTTTATTTTTTTTATTTTTTTTCAAAGTCAAAGTCAACTTTATTGTCAATTTCAAAATATGCCAGACTTTATTTAGTAACAGGGGTAGTAGAAACTTAAACTCGTAGCACTATTTCAGTAATTAGGGCAACCTAGTGCTCCTTAATAACTCAGACGAGAAATTGAAACAAAACCATTTTTTTCTGTCTTTATTTTGCTAGATAAACGTTTAATGTTAAATGCTCTGAGTGGATTTTAGTGTGATAACAGGAAGGCCTGATTTCATCAGTGTCTCTTATGTGGTTTGGTCTGTATTTTGTATAATTCATCAAGATTTGTATTTGTCACACGCTCATACAGACGTGCAGTAAAATCAGTAATGATGACTGCAAGAAGAAATTAATATATTCAGACATGTTAGGATGTCATAGTTCTTTCTGTGACATGTATTTATTCTCTTTTCTGGGGTCATAGTTTCCAGTCAGCAGAAGCTTCTCTGAAACATTTGGACCCTGGCTTTTTCCTCGGAAAAGTCTGCTTCATGGTCACTAACGGTATGACACTGTTTGTTCCTTCTTCTTTTAGATTTGCTTTCTCTCTTCAGCTGCTGTTTAAGTTACATGCAGGATACGATAAAGCAGACCTGACTGTTCTGAGACTGTCCTCGCTCTATTGTTGTAATATATGACCGACATTTATCTCAGTGTTTCTGGGCGTCTCCGTCTGACCGGCTGCCCTCTTCTCCATTTGTCTCCTGCAGCTCGTAATGCTTCAGTCCCCACAGAGCGTCTAGACTCTGTCAGAAAACTGGCAGCGTCGCTCCACTGCCCCGTGCTGTTTGCAGAGGATCAGGTCTGTGTCGACTTTTTTTCCAAGACTTGTTTATGATGTTTCAAACTAAAGACGTGATTTCAGAGTGCATATTAGGTTTTTGTGTTTTTCTAGATACCACTGTTGTCAATAAAACTCTTGAGTCCGTCTTTAAGGACGTGTCTTGTGTCACCTTCTTTCTCTTCTAGACACCTGCAGGTGTGACCAATGCTGCAGAGAGGCTGCTAACCATACTGAAGGTGACGGCGGGTCACGTTCCCATGGCGACCGCTCTCTATCTGTCCAACCTGACTCGCTGCACTGTGCCTCCAGACATCGACCAGCCATCCTTCGATTAATTCAGACTTTTTCATGTATATATTTATTATTAGTAACCTGGCTCTCCAGCCTGATAACACATCAGGTATTCTCTCTGTTTCTTGTGTTTTGTGTTTAGGCTTTTGGCTGTTTCTGTTTTCTCCCTGCAATGATGTTGTGTTTTCATTAAGAGCAGAACCGGTAACCTAAAGTGTGTTAGGGGAAATAATATCTCTTGTTGCAGATTGTAAGACTGAACAAAGGGTCATGACGAGCAGGTTAAAGGACAACTTTATGTCCGGATAGTTAAAAGGCAAAAGCTATCTTTTCAACTATCAAATTTCCTGACATGTGACAGCAGAAAAAACGATGCAAGTACGACAAATACATCAGCTGATATAGTTTCAGAGTGCTGTCAGCATACATGCTATTTCACTGTCATCGCTTTCTGGTAAAAACTGAATAGAATAGTGCCATCGGATCGTCTTTCCTTCTCTACTAGAAAGCTCTGTATTGAATTACCACCAGATTTATTTTTTGACACTTCAACCCGCAGCAGAGAAATCTAACCAGTGCAGTGACCTTTGAGAGTCAGGCTCAGAGCTAAATGACCTTTTTTGTGTGTGGAATACAACAATGAAAAACTAACAATCATAAAGGGGATTTTTGATGGCTCGTTTAACAGATTAAACTTTCCTCTGGACGCTGCGGATGTCACACCACCGCCTCCCCCTGTGTGAGTCTGACAACTGTTGAGTGTGACTGGAGAAATCCTGCTCGGTGTCACGTCTGTAAGCATGCAAATACCCCACACGCTCAAACACTATTATTAGTTCATAATGGCAAATATTCAGCTTACTAGTTAACCAGGCGCTTCCATGACATCATGTCACAAAAACAGCAATAAACATCAGTGTATTGACTCTCTTGGCTCTATTATAAATGTATATCAAAATAAAAATAAGCTATTGGTCAGTCAACAAATATAAATATGTCTTTGCATTTATGGAAACATATGCTTTGGTTAAATGCTGCAGAAGGTCATAGGTAAGTTGGCCAGTGTTTCAAAAGCCTGGCCTCGTGTGCTTTTACACATTTTTGTGTTGTGACTTCTGCATTTGCACTACATTTATACCACGTCAGGCCACAGTGAGTCAGAGAGTAGACCAGAGCACAGAGATATCTGCATTGCAGCTCCTTTAGTCAATGACAACTCCAGTTCCTGGTCTCCTGCTTCATACTGACAGTTACATCATCACCACCACTCTGTTCAAGTAAAAGATGAGAAATCAACTTTTCAGGTTGTGCTCACCGGCGAGTTTAAGCGTGCTGTGTGACAACAGGATGTGGGATTCAACTAATGACATTTAAACAATGTAGCAAGTCAAGAAAGGAGGATGACTAGTAATGGAGAAATAAAAGGAGGGGAGGAAATTTACAGAAGGTTGAATGAGTGATAAGCTCCCCAATATGGCTGTGTGACTCTGCCAAAAGGCTCTGCTCCATCACATTCACATTACACCAGGTGTTAACACTTTAAAGATAACCCTGCACATGAGGACATTGCTGAGGGTGATGAGATCAAACGGGATGTTGGTGTTCGTGAAAAGAGTATTTGCCTCAACATGTGTTTTTCATATGTTTTGTGATGAGTTACCAGTCTTACAAAAAAAAACCTCAGCATAGGGTTCACATTAGTTTGCGTAAGTAATAGACCCTTCAAGTGTTTGTCTACCAGTCTAGTGTTATTTTTATCCACTTTTTACTGAAGGATGTGTAAGCACAAGAAAAATTCAGTGGATGTGATGGAGCATGTCCTGGCTCTTGCTGCCCATTGCTCTACATATTTGGGTTGTGGGGGCCAGTAGGGTCCATGTGGTAGTGAATGTAGTTTATGTACTAGTAGCGAGGCTGGCTAGCTCGTATAAACAAAGTGGTAGGTTATTTAAATGATCGGCAGAATAATTGTGACGAAGGGTTTCCTCACTGAGCACTTGTTCTTCTCATTATAGGGACCAAGTATGTTGAATTTATGTCACATTCTACATTCACAAAATGAACAAAACTTAGAGACCTGAAAATAAAACAATGAGCTGAGTGCAGTTACTTGTGATTTATTGGCAATATATGATAAGTGTTTACAGTATGTGGTCATGAAACATTAAATAATGCTTAACAGGGTCAATCTCCCTTTTCTAAACTTTATTATGTTTTTAGTCTTAAGTGATTTCTTATTTCAATCAAACCATTTGATTTTGAACACAGCTTTTGCAGATGGAAAAAAAAAAAGCTTTGCGCTAGAATGTCTAGCCGGTGAAGCCAAGTTCTTTGTAATTGGCCTCCATGTCAGCTATGACGACAGCCATCACGTTCCTCAGGGCCTCCTGCCCGCCAGCGTCGAGTCCAGCCTTCTCCCCCATGACTTTACCAATGACCTCTGCAATCAGCTGGTGAGAAAACAAAGGCCAAGCAGTCAGGAGGACGCAGGAAATGTGATGCAACAGAAGCAACTCTTTAACATAAAGATCAAGCAGCAACTTTCAGGGTTTATAACTTGAGCCTGTGACAAGTAATAAAGACTGCAGTTCATCTAATAGCCACTAGGGTTGGCTTCAAAAGTGAGTCGATCCCCAAAGAAGACCATATTAAAATGCCAAAAGCAAAACATGTTTACAGCCAGGTACAAGATACTTTGTCATGTTTACTCATTCATGTCAACTGAACGGGAGTTTATCTTAAAATCTCACACATTTTATTTACTTTCAGGCTGAATTTTAAACATAATCAAGACTACGGCAGCTTTGACTGACCGGCTCGCTGCTAGTTGCAAGCTCAGTTTATATTGTCACAAAACCTCCAAAAAATCCAAATTTGGTCACATTTGGCTCCAAAGAACGGGTGATCGCAAAACTCTTTTAAACAGTATTTCCCAAACCAATTGGTGACATCACAGATGCATTATAATATTTTTGTGGTCATCTCCCTCACCTTGAAGTTATTAATGGGGATCTTGTGCTTGTTGGCGTGGCTGTTGGCCATGGGCTTGAGGATTGCAGCATGGTCGCCTTTGGCCCTCAGCAGCTCCCCGAGTTTTTTCAGTACAGTAGCACCATGGGCAGAAACGGCCGTGTTACCGGCCAGGTCACTCCTGGCGATGCCAGCAAACTTGGGGAACAGCTTCAGGGTGTCTGGGTGCTCTGTGAATAAACTGTGTTAAAAAAAAAAGGACAATAAACTGGAGAAAACAACACCAGGGCACCAGGGAACAGTTGGTGAAAAGAAATCCAACATCATTAAAACAGCACATAGAATTAAATCCTAAAATTTGGTGTTCAAAAGCACCCAAAAAAGGGCTTTTTGATCAGATAAAACCAGGTAAACCCGATACTGTATTTTTTTAATCAAGATACGATCTGTAGTTTGTTGTGTTTGAAACTTTTGAGTAGGATTGGGATAATTCAATGCAAAAATTCAGGCTCATCTTGATCAAAGCAGAAGGGTGATTTCAGATTGTATTACAGGGAAAAGTGTATTAAATTACCAAATGTGGATCATTTTTTTTCGAGATAAAATATTTTAAACAGCCGGGCCCCGGACTTTAGCTACCACTGATTACACAGAGGTCATGTCCTATATGATGTTTTAAACTTAGGCAACACAAAATATTTGAAAAATAAACCAACGGAGGCCACAAAGAGAGACATCATTTAACATTTGAGTTAAAATTAAAGATCAGTCATCAGTTGTAACGTCAGGAATCATGGCCCCAGCCCAGTTGATGACCTGACTAACAGAGAACGTAATCTTATCTTTCTGAGTGACTGACCGGCTCAGAACCAGGCCGCCGTAGGCATCATAGTCAGCCTCCACTGGACCCCAGAACTTCAGAACCGTGTCAAAGTTAGCCATGATCTGAGAGGGGAAGGAATAGATCATCAAAAAAATAACACCAAAAAAATGATTTGAGGAATAAAAACAGATTTTGTTACAGGCTGTGAATCAGATCTATGACCTCAGCTGCCCTCTGCGTCTGTAACATGACCTCAGTGAAATGCAGCTGAATTCATGTAAAGGAATATCAGCTGGATTCGATGCTTTAAAGGCTGCCCATTGGTAATAAATATCAATATTTTTTTCTCTTGAACAAACTTATAACTTGACACTAACAACTGTAGTAAAAAAGTAAACATTTAACCTTGACTTTTCTGTGCATCCTGAATTCATGCTGAAGGAACAAAGCAGAGTGATATATGTGTTATTATAATTTTTCATTCTGTCTGCTCTAATGAGTCCTGAAGTGCCTTTTCTGTCTCTTGTATTCTCTTTAAGAGACTTTACCCTAATTGAACACATTAAATCAGTTATTGGTTATAAAACCTTTATAAAAAAGACTTAGCACCTACCTGCAAAGTAGTGAAATGTCCTGCGTATAAACACCAAGTTCTTCTCACCTCCCAAAGTTGATCTTTTATACTCCTCTGTCCTGTGATTAAAATAATGCCAGCCCTCCCATCCATCTCGCCACAGGTCTCTTCAAATGTCAACAACACCTCTCGTTGTAATCTGGAAAAATGTGTTTGATGTGGTTACGTGACACCAGTGTGTTTGATTTCCTGTTTCATCTCGCTGCACCTTTTATATGCCCTGATATAATTGTCTGAATAACAAATATTACATTTCAAACATTTGTTGGAAAAACTGCAGATTAGTTTCATTTTTTTTTTTAATTACTGATCATCAGTTTGTCTGACGGAAACTTTATTCTGTGATGGGTTACTCTACTCTTATAGCTGCATTCTTCTGATTATTTGTAAAAATAAATAAATAAATCATCCCAGGATTTCATTTTGGGGCGACAGCAGCTCAGCCTGTAGCAAATTGGGTTGGGAACAGGTGTGTTCCAGCTGTGCGGAACAAAATATGGAAGTTTTTCTGGCTCCTAGAGAGATGCCAGGTCACTTCCTGAGTACTGCCGAGGTGCCTTTGAGCAGCTCTGGAGCACTCCCTGTGTAGCAGCCCCACTCTGACATCTCTCCACTAATGCATGTCCACAGGTCCTGTTTGTGTGCATTTCAGGTTTAAGTGTGTGAGAGGCGTGTCTCTCAATAACGGTGTAAACCAGGATTAATAAAGTATGTCAAATTAAAAAGAATTAAAACCCACTGTGGACTCAAAGATTTACAGTGATATGACAGCAGCCTAAAGACAATGGTGCAAACTTTACTTCTCTACTACTTTGTTAAACTTGAACTTTTGTTCATCCGTAGGCTATTTTACTACGGAGGATTAGGACCATGTTAAAAAATTATAATAATTTAAATTTCGAGATTAAAGTCCTAAATTTACGACTTTGATCTTGTAAATGTGACTTTATTCTCGTAAATTTATGACTTTATTCTCGTAAATTTACGACTTTGATCTTGTAAATGTACGACTTTATTCTCGTAAATTTATGACTTTATTCTCGTAAATTTACGACTTTATTCTCGTAAATTTATGACTTTATTCTCGTAAATTTACGACTTTGATCTTGTAAATTTAATTTTTTTTTTTTTTTTTAACGTGGCCCTAATCCTCCGTCGTACTATCTTAAGCACTGAGAATATTTTTAAAGTTCTGTGTTATTCTAAATTGGGTTTATTTTTCAAATCCTGACTCTTTAACACTCTTTTATTATTTAATTCAACCTCACGTTTCAGCTTCAGGTGTCTTCTGCCTAACCTGAGGACTTTGGATACCTTAGGTCGAGTTTTAGGTCCCATTCTGTTGGCTAATAGTAATCGTGTAAAAGGTAAGCCCCGCCTCCTCTTCACGCTTAGAGGTTAAAACTGTGTTCTCTTATCCAATAACAGTCTGAGACCGTGTCACGTGATTATTCGACACCCGGAAGTTTGCAGTTTATGTTAGAAGGACTGGAAGAAGATTCATGCTCAAAGACATTACGAGATTCTTTTCTCTTACCTAAATATTTTGTAACCTTTTAATATTTTTATAACGTCACAGGTGTTCTTCAAGATGATGCAAGCTATGAAAGGCGTGAGATATCTGCAAACCCGGACTGTCACTCAGGCAGGTTAGTAAACTTTTATATCTCTCCATTTGTCTGAAACTTTTGTGCTCCTGTTTGTGTTTAACTTATAGATTATAGATAATTAATTATTTTAAAAAACATTTAGTGATTTATTGATTTATTTTTATTGAACCCTAACCCTATTATTATTATTATTATTATTATTATTATTATTATTATCAAAGCATCGTGCTTTTAAATATTAATTAAGCAGGTATACTGAATTTAATGTTGATGTAGGTGTCTTCACTAAATATTTTTCATACATGTTTTATTTTATTTTTATTCCTGACAGATTTTGTGGCCTGTTTTTTTTTTTTTTTTTTTTTTTTTTTATTTATTTTATCTAATATTAATGTAAAACACATTTCTATGAAAGATAGATTTTTTTTCAGTATTTTATAAATGTAGGGACAAAAACCTGAGCTGGAGAAGAACTGATATCAAACTGTGCTCGTAGTGATTAAGCTGGGGTTTTTTTTAAAATTAATTTTAGACTTGAAAACGATCCAGTCCTTTTCTTAATCGATATCGAACACAAATACAGCCCACACACACACACACACACACACACAAAGTGAAGACAAAGATATTTCCATTTTGTAAGAAACATTTTCAAAACACTTTTATTGATCCCTTATTGTGAGCATTTTCTATTAATCTTAAAAAGCAAGTATACTAAATTTATTGAATTCTATTTTATTTTTTTTGTTTGTCTTGTATTAATGTAAAACCGTTTCTATGAAAGATAGGACATTTTCATTATTTTATAAATTTATAGACGCAAAAACTGAGCTGGAAAATGGATATTAGGAGCAAAAATTACATAATTAAATCTTAATGGATTTACAGCGAGTCACTTTTTACATCACAATTTCCCCCAATGTCATGTTGAAGTAGCTTTTTGTTTTTAAAGATTAATAAAAATCTGTCCATCTGTTGTCAAACAATGTTAGGAAGATTTCTACTTTAAGAATTGAGTTACTTTTCAAAACATTAGCTCAGTTTTGGGATTGTTAAATATGAATGTGTGTAAGATGACTGTTTCAGCAGAGAGAGAAAAAAAATTCCAAAGAAGTAAAGAACTTTTTTTCCCAGCAAATATTTTTCACAACATTAGAAATCTTCTAGTGTGGAAACATTAGGGTACAATCTTCTGTTAAAACTATAAAACAAGAGCCCGGCTCGTCTTAAAGAAACAAGGATCTTCCTCAGACTCAAAGAGGGTAGATGACAAAAGAGTGTTTCTTGATTGTTCATAACCCAGCGTGTGTTACATGTTCAGTTTCAGAGCTCTCTGTGCCGGTCCCATGGGGAGAGATCAGAGGTCGAGTCTGGGGTCCTGATCATGGTCGTCCTGTGCTGTGCCTGCACGGCTGGGCTGATAACTGTGGTACATTCAACACCCTCATTCCCTTCCTACCTAAAGGTATTTATTTTTGGTTGAATGGATGAACTTATTAAAAGCTTTTCACTGCTCTCGGCACCTCAGTTAGATTGTTTTTCAGGCTTATAACAAGGTCCTAAAGTTTTCCCTCAAGGCTCATTACTCCCCAAACAAAACACCTTTAGAGAAATAGTTTATTTCAATGTGGTCAGCTACTCCTGCTGCCTGTCAAAATGTAAAGAACGCGGGTAAAATTTCACACTTTTTGAAAATTACTTTCTGACAATGGGCGGTCGTTTATGTCTCTCGCTTTATTTTAAAAGCCAGTGAACACAGGTGTCCTGGCTTTACGTTTTGCAGATCAGTTGTCCCAGTAGTTCTTTAAGAAGTGTTAAACATTGATGTCTCACCATGAGAAACTCTCTGGTAGGTAAGGTACATGACGGCTTCAGGGTTTAGACTCTCCCTGCTGCCGGTCAGACATTCACTCAAGCCATTTATTGAATATATTCCACAAAAGTTATCACAAAATGAAGAAAAACAGGCCCTCTGGTTTGACCCTTCATGCCGGTTATCAAGGCCGCCCACGATGGGGGGCACAAGGGAAAACTTTCTGGTGTCCAGTCACGTAAAGAGGTCCCATGGAGGTTAGCAAAAACATGGTCCATCCTCATTTTTTTTATTACAATTTTAATTTTATTCAAAATTTAACGTTTGCCTCTTATGGCAATGAAAACCACTTTTAATGTAGTGTTGCTTCAGTAGCCTACATTTATAGCGCTAACACAACTGATGGATAATAAGGTAACCTGGTAAAACTCCGTCCCTCTCCGTTTCCCTCCTCTCAGAGTACAGATATGTGGCCGTGGACCTGGCAGGCCACGGTCAGTCGTCACATCGTCCTCCTGGAGTTTTCTACGCCTTTCCCTCCTATGTGATGGACGTACGCAGAGTCGTCGATGGTGCGTTCATGCTCATGGAAGTTTTTTTTCAGCCTCAGCTCTGGTGCATGGTGTAGTGCAGTTAAAACCACAGCAGTGAGGTTATCTTTGTCGTTTTTATTCCTTGATGTGATACTGTCGCTGGTTAATGATCTGTGAAATGAACTCCCACAGCTCTGCAGTGGAGCAAGTTCTCCATCATCGGTCACAGCATGGGTGAGTGCAGCTTCACAGCACACCGACAGCAATTCAAATGTTGTTTCTTTTAATGAGTTTGCTTTTTTATTAAGAGATATTTAGACGGACATTTCATTTCTTTCTTTAATTTCAGGCGGTAATATTGCTGGAATGGTAAGTGATTTGAGTCATGACAGGCTGTTTCACCTTGTTACTCTTTCTTCACACAGTGAACCGACTCTGTGGAGACTATTTAATTCTACTGTGTTATTTACTTCACATTGTTCTCCACAGTTCAGTGCGCTGTATCCTGAGATGGTGGATTCTATCGTGCTGCTGGACTCCTATGGATTCCTCCCGTCAGATCAGGTAATTAAACGGTTTTCAGACCCCAGACAACAGTCACATCGGGGCTGTTCATTAGGCTGCGTGGTAAC